GTAATACCAGACTCTGGCTGTTCTGAACCACATATGTTAAATTGTTAGCAGCTTACTCAGCCCTAAGAATCCAGGCTTATTCTGTGTGCTTGCATGTTTTACATGTGTTCTTTTCTTTCTTTCTTTCTTTTTTCTTTTTTATTTTTTGGTTTTTATTTTTAGTTGATTCCTCTTATTTTATCAATCTATGGCCACTTAGGAAACAATTTGTCTTATGGAAATACACTAAGGTCTCCTCTTTTGGGCCTATATTCTTCTCCCAGGGCCTAAAGAGGCCATCTCATAAAAACAAAGAAAGATGGGTGGTCTTGTGGTCCTAGCTGAATAAACATGTTTGCTGTTCTGTGACTGGAGGTTCAAAGAGTGACACATCCAGGTACCTTGTGCCTTGTTTCACAATGAGTTTAAACCATCATTAGATGCCTTCTCTGACTCTTGTGCACAAATGCAGAGGGAAGGATGAACTGACAGAGCTAAGCAGAAAGACAGCAAAAATAGACCACTTTGTCCAAGGCAGGCCCCACACATTCTTGGCCACATGTTCGTGTCTACCCATCATACCTGATAATGCTACTAGTTAAGACAAACTCCTAAAGGACTTTGAATTTCTTCTTTTTAATTTAATTTTTTTATAAAGCAAAACTTACAGAATTTTTTTCAACAGAGATCTTTATGTTCTTTTGTCTATTGAATCTTTCTTCCCTTTGCCTTTCCCACCCTCTTTCCTCCTTTACAGTCTCTGGTATCTGGACTTATCTCTCTACTTTCATATCTTCAGATCTTTCCATTTCTGCTGTAAAGTGCAGACATTTGGTACATATTAAGTGGAGGTATACAGTGTGTATCTTGCAAAGTCAGGTTCACATTACTGAACATTAAGTCTTCTATATTCATCCATTTTGAGTCAAATGATACAGTCTCATTTTTTCCTATGGCTAAGTAGGACTTTCTAATCAAAAATTGGAAATGAACCAGTCTCTCCCCTAGAAAACAGGTGGAATATCAACCTGCCCATTTCCTTTCAGCGTCAGCATGACCACATGTTCCACACTGCTTGCCCTTGGAATGATGCCACTGTGCCTCCTTATCTATACCAAAACATGGGCCGACTCTGGGACCATCATAATCCCCTATGATACCATAGGTAAGTCATCTCTCTGCAAGGCTTTTCAGTATCACCCCAAAATTCTCTGCTTATTCCCACTAGGATCTCAGATTGGACTTAGACCCAACTGTTATTTACCAGCTGCACTAGCGGCAGGTTTTGCCCAATTATGATGTCATTGCAAAGTCATCTCTGTATTTTGATGAAGGTTAGAAAAATGCAAATTCCAAATTTTGGCTCCATAAGAGAATCTGCTTTCTTCTCAATCCAAATCACGAGGGAGAAGAGCTAACTTAAGGCAGTCTGGACGGAGGAAGCTAAAGTTGCTGGTGTGTGGGAGCCTCCATCTTTTCCTTAACACATAGTGTAACTAGCTCATAAGAGCAGGAGTTCCCACTCAGGCACTCAAAATGGGGGAAAAACATTATATGATAATTTCAAAATAGAGCACTAAGTAAGCATGAGTGTTTTAACAGGAAACTACCAGATTAAGCATATTGTTTGTAACATTCAGTTGTGAGCCATATTTTAATTCAAAGGTTGACTAAATACAGTCTTCCCAGCTCTGAAAATCAAATTTGCTTGCTTTGACCCTGTCTCCACTCATTTAACTCCTCAATGTTCGTCCCCATCCTAAAGGAGCCTCTTGTTCTGTTTCTGGGAAAATAGATGATTGTTGGATAAGTTGTTGGAGAACCATGGAAGGGTAAGAGAGCCTCTGGTATTCCAGAAGCAGGCATTTCCCATGGAGTAATCATCACACACACACACACACACACACACACACACACACACACAAATACAAGTGAAATAGTACATGACTACCCATCACCAGATGCTCTAAGTAGTCTTACTTTTTTTTTTTAGCTGACCTTGGAAACAAATGTCTTTTTGATGAGCTTCCTCAAAAGAGTGTAGGTTTCCCATGAAAGATCTCATAAAGAAAAGGCCATATAGAGACTCATCAGGGTGTTGTGAAAGGGACCCCTGTCCAGATGGGAAGCTGGACTAAAGTCCCTTCCCTGTCCTAGAAAGATTGTTTTGTGATTAAATGTGATCTGAGGTACGTACTACTCAATTAGAACACATTCAGAACACTAATCAGGGAGGGTCTGTATTGTAGTATTATTAGATAGTCTCCTCTCTCTCTCTACCACTCCTGTTATAAATATGAGATTTTTAAAAGTGTTTCTCTTTGAACACCCTATTCCTATTCTGTATAAGATTTCTGAGCATAAGGTCCTTCTGTTATCCACTGAGGACCTCCCAGAAACAGGTCTCCTTGTCCTTCAGTGACTACCTCCCCCCATGCATCACATGGCTTCATCCTCTAGCTGCTCTCTCAGCGGACACCTGCCTGAGGGTTAAAGAATATTGTTTGTGTGAGTGGTTGTTTGTCTGAGTGCTGATTGTCTGAGTGGTCTCTCAAAGAATCTGCCTGCTGACAAGAATTTTGACTGTACATCAGTCTTCCTTATGAAAACAATTCAAAGCTTAAAACATTTTCCCCTTGGCCAGCCATGGTGGCTCAATGGTAACCCAGTACTCTACAAGGCTGAAACAAAGGAGAAGGTCCCAGGTTTGTATCCCAAAGTGTCCCTGTACACTCTGGGCCTGCATATGTACCTGTGATCCTCGGAGCCTGAGACTGAGGGTGGGTCACGGCATGAGGATCCTATGGAGGTACCTGTCACTCTTTCTTGTTCTCACTGTTGCTATCACTTGTTCTCACTTGTTCTTGCTGTCACTCTCACTCTCTTTTTCTCTCACTCTCTACTGGAAAGACATAGATAAAAGTATTCTTCTGGAAAATGCCCTACAGAAATGTTCAGCAATTCTTTTTTTTTTTTTAGAGAGCAAAAGCTATAAGATGCATGCGTTCGCCAAAAAGACAGAGAGAGCAGAAAGTGAGAAATCACCTGAGGGGAGATGGTCACACTGCAATCCCTTCTCCTCAATTCTCCTCAGGATCTTGGGCATGCACACACACATGCCCAGCATGAGTTTAAGCCACCGGGTCCAGGACTCAAACTGTGGTCGACTACATGGGAGTCCAGCGTCATAGCCATTATGCCAACTGCTGGTCTCAATATCCGGTAATTCTAATGACAGCATGAGTGACTTATTGCATATCATTTAATGTGAATCAATTTTTTTCTTTTTTTTTTTTTTTGGAGAGGTTTTTGCTATAGGGCGTGTGCACTCGCCAGACAGACAGAGAGAGACATAGAGACAGAAAGCGAGAAATCACCCCCAGAGGGGATGGTCATGGCGCAATCCCTTCTCCTCCATTCTCCTCCTGGGATCTTGGGCTCGCACACACACGCGCCCGGCGTGAGTTTTAAGCCACCGGGTCCGGGACACAAACCACAGTCGACTATGTGGGAGTCCAGCGACATAGCCATTACGCTAACTGCTGGTTCCCCCCATGTGAATCAATTTTGAAAGCAGGAGAAACTGAGAAATCAATCAGCACCTCAGTGAAGGAAAAGGTCATTATAAGTGAGGTTAAAAATAAAAAGGGAAAAGTAAAGAAAAAGAGAAGAGTGGAAAGATAAACAACAGTTTGAAAAACAAGAATATTAATTAACTCTATTTGTTCACTGTAATCTTTGCTCTGGCTTATTTTCTGATCTTTGTGACTATTGGTTTTTCTAGTCCTTTGAGGTATAGAGCCAATGAATTGACTTCTTCCCAGTATGCTATTACCATTTTGCAAGAGAGGATCAAGGCCCACAATCTCTGCATACTAGAAACAGCCACTAGTCTACCCTGCCCTGCTCCATGGTGGCATGCATTTGGAACAACTTCCACACAGTGCTCAGCGTGTTCCAATGACAGTAAACATGGATGAGCCCTCCAAGGACGACTTCTGGGTGGGGAGAACACTACTGTCCAACGATCAACTAAAACCACTTCACAGTAAAAAAGAAGAAGACAATGCTGGCAAGCTGCTGTACCTCCTCTTCTTTATTCTGCATTCGTGACTGTCCTTCTCCAAGAACTTCACACTCATGTCATCAGCTCATTATTACAACAGCACTGTTAGGCAGACATAGTTCTACCCATTTTACAAATGGGGAAACCGGAGCTCAGCAGAGCTGACCTGTACACTTCCCACAGTTTGTGAATAGAGAAAGGTTGACCTCTGAGTCTATCCGGCCACACACATGAACCCAATCACCAC